TTTCCCTAAAATAGGACAATAGATTCTTTAGAGACCTGTTACTGTTAGATCTCCTGGCTCCCTTCTCACGGTTATTGCAGCTATTGCCTAAAATACATGTTGTCTTTTGAGGAACACTCCAAGAATAGAGGTTGATGGAAACCACAAACCAACTTTAATCATCCTCCCATTTTCTCATCAGTTGTTGCAACTTCCTCTTTCTGTCAAAAAAAAAAAAAATTGTTTCCTCTGCTACTGCTTTTCTCAGTGGGTTTTTTCTTTTCTTTTTTTTTTTTTAATTGTAGACAAGAAATCGTTTTGAAGGAACAAGGTCAGAGGTAGAGGAACTCATGAACAAAATCAAGCGAAATCCTCAGGAACATAAGAGAGCTGATCAGGCTACAATGGAAGGCTACCTTTACGTTCAGGAGAAAAGTAAGATATGTTTCTAATTTATTTATATTCTGGTGGTGCCCCAAATACACACAGTGCACAAATGCAAACCCAAATGTCCCATACAGGTACAATTTCTTCTGAAAGAGCTTTCTATTTTAAGAAAAGTACATTTTTGTAATTCACAATATTCTAATCTTCTTACAATTTTAATATCATACTTTAATACAGAATATTGTGCTTTTCATGTGGTGATCTCAGAGCTCTATATAACCATCAAGTAAGCAGATTGCTGTTAGGTAGGAAAACTGTAACATTCCTACCTTCCAGATGAGGAATCTGTGAGGTGAGGAATGCTCTTGTGATTTTTTCCAAAGTTATACTGAGTGGCCAAACTAAACGGAGTTTAGCACCAACTCACAAATCACTGTGTACTAAATGTTTTATTAAAGATAAAACCCATTATAAAAACAACTGTTTTTAATATATATATATATAATTGGATTTAGTGGTATGTTTGTTTACTGTATAACTACTGTAACTGAAAGGAAGAATTAATATCTACTAATATAACTAGCAGACCCCATTTCATTATCCCAGAAAATAAAGATGCTAAGGTAATATTTATTAAACAGTCATTACTTAAAGCATGCACACGTTATGAAGCAGTACTGATACAACTATATATTGGTCCTGATTTTTTCAGAAGTGCTGAGCATTTTAATATTTGTGGAAAACCAGGCCAATTTAGTTTGAGTCACTTCATAGTTTACGTATGTACTTTAATTAATTGTGATCAGTGTTGGATAAAACAGGCCTACATGTTGAACGGATGATAGCATGAATCTTAATATACTAATATGTCGTGTATTAAAAGATGTGATTTTCATGCCAACTTACTTGTATAAGTTTTTCAATATAGTTGAAGAAAGTAGTGATATTAACCTTTGACAAATTGCTGTGAATTCAAACCTGGCTTTTAAAGCATTCAATTTTCATATATTTTTTAGTTTTAAAGGTCTATGCACTCTTAAAAAATGTATCTATGTTTAAAACCACAAATGTGCTCTGTGCATCGTATATTTTCATTCCTTTTTTCCTGTCCATAAATAAATATAAACATTTTGGCATCTTTGTGTCAATTTTTGCATAATAAGATAAACTGCTGAAACTACAAAGACATGTCTTTTTTATGATAAGTTGGAAAGCATGAGGAACTACATAGGAACTTTTAAGGGAGCTGGGGAATCTGAGAGCTAGGGTTTCCAGCAGCCATATTTTTTCTAGTGTCCTCTTTATGTAAACCACACATCTTATGTTAGTCCTGGGAAAAACATCTTATATTCAACTATATTTTGCATGAAAATGTCATTTTATATAATGCATAAGAAGCAGGTCTTGAATAATTTTTAAAAATCAATATTTCAGGTCTTATCCGGAGGAACAACACACTTAAAAAAAAATCCAAAATGAAACTTTTAATCAAGATCCTCATAAATACTTTGTTTTGAATCTTGATTTAATTTTATTATTCTGTCTCAAGTTTGAAATAGAAAAAAAAATCCTAAACACTCATCCAATCTCAGAAAAATTGAGCTCTACTTGCTTCCAACAATAGTACCTTGAGATCCTGGTGATTTTTGAGGTCTTGCACTCAGAGCTGACCCTATGGGTGTGTGGGGCCTGGGGCATATCAGCCTGTGGGGGGCCTGTGCAGGAGGGAGGGTGGTGAGCAGCTGGAGCAGGAAGCCGGTAGCGCGCAGCGACTGTGCAGAGCGGTGGTGCCTGCGGCACATGGCAGTGGCACGGGGCTTGTATGGCACTATCCGTGGGGGCCCCCAAAGCACAGCACCCGGGTCAGTTGTCCTGATTTTCAGCACCCCGCCCCCGGACAGCTCTACTTATACTTTACTGAACTTTTCCCTTTCTGAGTTCCTGTGGGGGTTTGTTTGGTTTTTTTTGGTCAGACATACAATAGGCAATACTTCTGAGGCACATGAGTGGCAGCCATTCACACACATATATGGGTTTCTCTCCTAACAAGATTAGAGTCTAGGGAAAGTGTGGATACCTTGAGTAGCCCATCAGCTTGTAGCAGGGCAAGCTCCTGAGTGCTGGCAGCACAGCAGTATGTCAGTAGCAGTTCCTGTTGACTTGATTGGCAACTTTTTTCATGAGTTACAAAGGTAGTTGGTCAAATATGGTGCTTTATGCTTCTGCTTGGCCAATCATACTTCTGAATTTGGCAGCACTGGTTCTCTTTGGGAAATGTAGTGGCTGCTTATGAGAGATGGGTATATCTACTTTTATATCCAATTCAGGCTAAAGGTGTGACAACTCTCAGCGAAGAGACTACTGTTCATCTTGCCAACTCCTGAAAACTGGAGTCCAAGCTTTAACAGCTAACATTATCTTGCAGATTCCAGCTGCTTGTAATGGAGCATAAAGCAAGTTGGTTTTTATAAATAACTTAGTTTTATATTAATATCTATATGTATATCTTATATCTTATAGCACCATTAGTGCTTCAAGTTCTACATTCTGTCTTGGTCTGAGTTTGGTTTTGTTCACAATTCCAGGCACCAGAATTTAAAGTCTATATTTATAGCCCTTACTGATTTAGGGCTTCCAGGATTTGTCAAAGATTAAACACAGATACTGCATAACAGTAAAATGCTTGGAGACGACAAAAGCATTAATACTTTTAGTGTGGCCTATGTTATATGTAAAGGTCCCAACAAACCTTGCAGAAAATGCTAGGTAACTAGGAGTCATGTTAAAGTACCCTGGTGTGCATTTGACTTACTGGGCTGAATTACATAAGGTTGGAAATGCCTATGAAAACAAATATGCTATACTATATAAATAAATAAGAGTTCTGCTTTAGGTTACTTTAAAATTATTGTTGGTGTCCTTGAATCTAATATTCATGTAGGAACTGCAGTTCTTATCCAGCATTCCGGGAAGATAGCACTCCTCCACACATTTGGATAATCAGACATCTGTCTGATGACTGATCTCACTGGGTTCTTCACTGAAAGTAGTTGTATGGATAACAGTCTTTTTCTAGCAGTAAAGATGGAAATGACCCTTTTACAGAGCTCTTTTCCTTTGAATTACAAAGAATAAAATGCAGCATACATTACTAAACAGAGTACTACCCAGAAGTAGACGTGCACCGATACATCACCCCAATATCGGATCAGTACCGATATAAAGCAAACTGTCTGTATCAGATATCCACTCGATAGAGCCGACAATTTGGCCGATAAATGCTCGTGCTGCACACAGCTGCAGCACAGCACTCAGGCAGTGAAGAGCAGAGCTGGCAGTGTGGAGAGAGAGCTGTCTCCAGCTGGTAAGTCCAGTGTGGTGGAAGAGGCATGGCAGGGGGGCAGATCAATGCCCCGTGTGGTGAGGGAGGGGGCAGGGGCAGGCACTGCCCAGGCTGGAGGGGGCAGAGCTGTGGCTCATTGGGATGGGTAGGAGAAGGTGGCACCTGCTGCTGTTTGCACCCTGGGAGGACATGGGGGCTCTTCTCAGCGGGGGCTAGGCTCAGAGCGGGCGCTGGCACTGCTGGAAGGATGCTGCATCCACCCCAAATTTCACTGCTGCTCCACTCCCAGCACTGTTGCTGTCAGCCGCCTGGTGCAGCCCTGGTTCTTCCCAGCATGTGGGTGGAGGCAGGGCCTTGAGCTGGGGCTGCGCTGAGCAGCTGGTGGTGGTGGCGCTGGAAGTGGAGTGGCAGCAAAATTTGGGGTGGATGCAGCATCCTCCCATCACTGGTGGCACCCGCTCCGAGCCTAGCCTCCACCGAGAAGAGCCTCGTGCAGCCCGGGCTGCAGCCCACCCTGCCCCACGCAGATTTGGGGCCCCGCCCTGGGTGTGAGCAGCAGTGGGAGCTGCCTTTCCCCACCATGAGCCACAACTCCGGTCCCAACCCCCCTCCCTGCCTGGGCAGCACCTGCCCCTGCCCGCTCCCTCACTGCGAGGGGCATTGGTCTGCCCTCCACCAACCCCTTGCTTCCCTCCCTCCCTCCTCTCCTTCCACTACATGGACTTACCAGCTGGAGGGGGTTGTATCAGAAATCAGATCAGTATGCCTCCTTTAATATTGGCTATCGGGATCAGCCCCAAAAATTTCTATTGGTGCACCCCTACCCAGAAGTTAATATTTTATTGTGCTTGATCATTGGCTGACTTTGGGTATATTAATGTGGTATTTCTTTATAAATCTAATAGTATACAAAGTATATTCTTGCTAGAAACTGACAAAGGGCAACAAACTATCTGAAGCAAGAGAACCAAATTAATGTTTCCATTTTGTTTAAGGGCCTGCCCCATTTGGCTCCAGTTGGGTAAAACACTACTGCACATATAAGAAACAGACAAAAACATTCAGCATGATCCCATTTGAACACAGGTCAGGAGGGAAAGCAGTAAGTATATTTCACTTGCACTTTTTTCATGCCATGTATCTAAGTGAGAGAATGTGCCAGATAAGATATATCAAATATCTCTTTTTCATGCAATTTACACTCTGCCCTTTCAGGATATTAAACTAAAATAATGGAATGGTTTAGTAGATAAGAATTTTGTAGAAATTTCAATTGCTTGCTTCTAAAATAACAGTGTCTATAAGAGCTAGAATACACCTCTCTCTATCTTTTTAGTGTCTAGCTTGCACTATAGGGTTTTAATTTGGTAAAGTGTGACTCAAGAAAATACAGTAAACTTGGGAGATTCTCCTTTATACTCTCCATCCAGATTCTTCTTCCAAGGTAGCTGGATGGGAGAGTTGGAAGAGAGCCTGGTTAGGAAGCCTTTAAATCCTTTTCATATTGGCATCATATTTTGCACTGAAAATCTTAATATAAACTTTCCCTGATAGCCTTGATATTCAGGGCTAAAGAGTCCGGATGCTGAATGCCTTAGTTCCTGTGGAAGTGATTGGAAATTGAGGGTTCTCGGCATGTTGCAGGATTAGGCTTGAAATGGCTAAATGAAGAAGCAGAAGAAAAAATAGAAGACAGAAGAGACATTTATATCTTCTGGTCAATCTTAGAGTTTAGATGCTGTTTCTTACCCTGTCTTTAAGTGTAATTTTAAAAGTTTCTCAGAATGGGGTTTGTTTGGGGGATCATATTTGAGTGTTCTTGATGGAAAGGAGATTGTGTGCATAATCCCTTCTGAAATATTTTTATTTTCATTTTGCTTATATGGCTCTTGGGTAAAACTTTCAAAATTGCTCAGTTGACTTCAAAACCAAGTTCTACTGTAAGGCAATAGCACTTCTGGTCCTTAGTCATTTTAGAGGCTTTCAGATATTTTCACACTAGTGTAATGCAATTGCATTAAGTCCTCCTAGATAAAACAATGAAATCTATAGGTATGGATGCACCAAAAAAGCAACATCACTAAAATAGCTGCATGTTCTGGTGAATGCCAATGCTTATAGAGAGCAGTTTACTTGTAGTTACTCACAGGTTAGTTAAGGTATTTAGTCTTTGGGTACTGTAAGGATGGGTGGACAGTTTATAATCTGAATGTACAGAGGCTTGTTCTGAAGGGAAGGCATACCCTATGAGGCAAATTTCAGAGTATCAGAACTCCCTTATTTTGCCTTAAACACTATAAAGCAGAATTTGGAATATTACTATTTTGACAAAAATAGTACAGTGACAGTCTTTTACAGAAAATTTACCCTGATGATATCATTGGTGCAGAATAGTAATTCTTTTTATTAAGGTGTTTGAGCTCCCATATTTTAAACCAAAAAGTTCTATATTTGCTGCACCTGCAATCTGTAAAATAACCGTGAGATTTCTGCAGTACTACGTACTGATTTGCAGCTGTAACAATTCCATTGCATTTGTCAGTTCCAATCCAGCTTTTGCTATTATTTTAATACAGGTTATCATATTTAGTTTGCATCAGTGGCTTGCTGACTCTTTGGATTTCAGTTTGGCTCTGCTATCAGGCATATAATAATCTCTCTTATTTACAGGGTGATTTGGAAGCCTTCTTTCTTACCTACTGTACCAAAAGAAATACGGATACTATAGATAGACGTTTCTGTTTTGACATGGAAGCTGCAGACAGGTAAGCTGGTGAAATGTACTGAACACGTAGTCAGAGGAAATGTCCATACATGTTTTCAGAATTTATATTCTTCCTTCAGATACGACCAACTCCTTAACACTGATGCATGACTGAATGTATTGAAGTGGAGACTACTCTCCCTGTATGTCTGCTGTCAGTAACAGTCCCACTTGTCACTGGTTAATTTTCAGTCTCTCTCTTGTATATTTTCTCTTTTATTAATCCCCACGACAGTGACAAAAACTGTGTAATACACTGGTAGGTCCCTAGGAAAGGTTGCTTTTTTACTCTTACCTCTGTGCACTTCCATGAGTTTGGAAAAACCCAGAGATTCTAGGAACTTTTTAAAAATCTGAGCAGAATTATTTTTTTTAAATGCCACTTTGCTTTTTTCCCTTCCCTTCCCTGTCAATCCGTTATCTCTTCTCATGAAGAGGCACTGATGACCTGTCTGTTCTTATGCATAATCTGTTCCTTTTTGCCAGCTTAAAAAAAGTCAAAGAGTTTCTAATGTTTTTCTAACATCACCCCTTTGCAGCTACTGGCTTCAGACCCATTTAGTTTACTCCCTCTTCTCACCAGTTAGACATTCCAGAATGTCACTTAATTGGGTTTTTAAGATTAAAACATTTCATTTTTATAATGTGTTCAGTGCTTTCAATTCACTATCTACAATGGTGGTGATTTTCTTGGATTATACTGGTATATACTATGCACATCAGTGAAAAAGACCAGTTCATGTAAGAGGCTAAGACATGAAAATGCCTGCCTGAAGCATCTGAGGTTTTTATCATCCCTTTCCCAAGTAGTAACACTGAAGAGGCTTTCACTGAGCTAATAACACTCTGAGAACCCTTTTTCTTTAACGGCTTCACTCTTCTATGGTGCATGCTGCTGATCCAGTCACTCATTGAGGTAAATCTTAATTTCTGCTGAGAGGAAGCATCCAAACACTTCTCTTGATGCTTGATTATGAGAGGTAGTATGAGCCAGGCCTACTCTACTTTGCTGGATTCCAGGGCTCTGAATGACAGTGAAAATTACTCACCAAGTCCCACTCTTCTCTGAGTTTAGCACATCCCCAGGCATTATGTCCTACTTCATCCTCTGGGAAGTCTTCCTCTTTTTCCTGATCCTGGGATTTCTTCCATTGCAGCCTCCATCTAGCAGGTTCCTTCCCTTTCGTCACAGGGAACTGTCCAGCACCATTCCCAATGCCTAGGAACTCTGGCATCTAAAGCTGCCCAGCTAGAACCAAACTCCTTTCTCTTTTATAGTCCTAAGGAAGAAAAGCTGGTTTCACAATCTTCCAGAACTGCGGTGATGCTTTCCTGATGCCCTTTTGGAATTGGGCTCACAAGGAACCATCCTGAGCTGAACTGTGTCTTGAGCCAGTGTGGTTGGGAGACTAGTTTCGATAGCTAATGGCACACAAAGGAGTGAGGTGATTGGCATCATCTCCAGCTGCCTCTGATTCCCCAGCCTAAACAGTCCAAATGACAACTTGTAGATTGGTTTACTGGGGGCAGTATTCAACATTAGTCCAGAGTGAGGCTCAAGCACTCATGACTTGGAGAAAAAAAAAGAGAGAAAAAGGCAGAGGACAGAGAGTTTGCATTTTCATTGCACTGGTAGGGCTTGGTTAAAATGTCTTACTACAGATTTGACTCTCTGTTCTCTGCCCTTTCCTTTTATTCAGCATTGTGTTCAGTTTGTGCAATAAATCCAGTCTAGAATGCATCAATTGATTTTATTTCTCCCTGCCCCCCGTTCCCTCCCACCTGTTATGACTGGAAGCATATCTTCCCCTAGCCCTTGCATGTCAGCTCTTTGTGCTTGGCAGTGTTCAACACAGGAAGATTAATTGAGATAGAGATAATTGAAATGTGTTTGGTTGTGCTTGCAAGACGATTCACATCCTTCTGCCCTCTGTAAAAAAATGGAATCTGTTTCTGTCCACTGTAACCTTTTGACCAGTCCACCTCACCTGATATAGAGGTGTATCCCTTTGTGGTTAGATACCATGCTGCCTGCTCAGTAAAGGCATTGCCTGAGATGGAAGTGTCCAGCTGACATAGGTGAGCGGCAGCACACTTAAGTTCATAAGTATCAGTCTGGGCAGCATAGCCCCATATGGCTTAGACTCTCTTTCCTAAAATGTGTCCAAAAGACTGACCACTGGTCATGGATTTTATGCAGCAGCTGGCAACCTTTAACAAGCCACAGGCCTTAACAACCCTGCTTTGATCTGATGCAGTTTGGGTGGCAGCAGAATTGGGGGCTGGGGGGATTCATAGATTTTATAGACATCAGGGCTGGAAGGGACCTCGGAAGATCATCGAGTCCAGCCCCCCGCCCAAAGGGCAGGAAGTCAGCTGGGGTCATAGGATCCCAGCAAGATAAGCCTCCAGTTTCATCTTGAAGGCGTTCAATGAAGGCGCTTGAACCACCTCCGGTGGCAGGCTGTTCCAGACCTTGGGGGCTCAGACTGTAAAGAAATTCTTCCTTATGTCCAGCCTGAAACGATCTTGAAGTAGTTTGTGACCATTCGACCTCGTCATCCCTTGGGGCGCTCTGGTGAACAAACGTTCCCCCAGATGCTGGTGGTCACCCCTGATAAACTTGTAGGTGGCCATCAGATCACCCCTGAGCCTGCGCTTTTCCAGGCTAAAGAGCCCCAGGGCTCTCAGCCTGTCATCGTAGGGTCTGCTTCCCTGACCTCTGATCATGCGCGTGGCTCTTCTCTGGACTCTCTCAAGCTTCTCCACATCCTTTTTGAATTGTGGAGCCCAAAACTGGACACAGTACTCCAGCTGCGGCCTCACTAAGGCCGAGTACAAGGGGAGAATGACGTCCCGGGATTTGCTTGAGAAGCATCTATGGATGCAAGCCAGCGTTTTGGTCGCTTTACTAGCCGCCGCATCGCATTGCAGGCTCATGTTCATCTTGTGGTCAATGATGACCCCCAAGTCTCTTTCTTCCATAGTGCTAGCCAACATAGCACTGCCGAGCCTATAAGGATGCTGCGGGTTTTTTTCCCCAAGGTGGAGAACCTTGCATTTATCGGCATTGAACACCATCAGATTCTCGTCCGCCCGCTTGCTGAGCCTGTCCAGGTCAGCCTGGATCACCTGCCTGTCTTCTGGTGTGGATGCTTTGCCCCAAAGTTTGGTGTCATCGGCGAACTTGGCCAGTCCGCTTCTGACTCCAGTGTCCACATCATTAATGAAGATGTTGAATAGTATGGGTCCAAGGACAGAGCCTTGATGCATGATGGTCAGGCAGCTGGGAATGGTGTCTTCAGTGCTGCTGCTTCTCCCTGTCCCCACCCACCTCCCAGCTACAGTGCAGCTCCCCAGTGGCTAGAACAGTGGTTCCCAATCTTTTTTTTACCATGGCCTGGCAGGAGCAGGGCAGAGTGCGCAGAGCCAGCTGCTTCCCTCTCAGGGCTCCCCCACCACCTGACTTTAACTCCAGAAGTTCAGATGTGACCCTGGAAGCCACTCAACTGGGTGGATGGACGGGGCTCCGAGCGGGGGGCTTGTGCCACGACCCTGCAGCCAGCCAGCCCGCCCGCCTCAGTCTGGTGGTTGGGAACCTCTGGGCTAGGGTGCGCATCCGGGGAGAAGGGGGCTAGAAGAAATGGTGGCAGTGTTGGTGTGGAGTCAAGCTGCCCAACCCTAGTGCAGTTCCACCCTGCCCTCTCTGTCTAAACCTAGGGTGCACAGGTGCATAGGTAAAGCCCTCCATCTTCATAAGCCACATGTTGCCAAGCCCTAGTTTTATGGATCCCAGTGGCTTTCCTGGCAGGAAGAGTGAGTCTAGAATCTAAGGCAAGTATCTCAATGGAAAATGTTTAGCCTTGCCAATATGCTGCCATCAGTTGATACTTCCCAGGATCTTGTAACAAGGAAGTGACATCCATTTTTCTTTTATAGAGACAAGTGAGATTTGTCCATTTTTCCTCAGAATTCAAAGTGCTCAGGGCTGTGGGTATTGTGGAATTCACAATTGGCTCAATCAAATAGCAAACAGCTGTCAGGATTTCTTACCTAATGTCTTTTTTTTCCCCCCATATTTGGCACTGTTGACTCTCCAGTGTGCACAAAATAAGAATGGTTCTGTGGTGTGGGAATCATTTAATGCAGGCCTGTCCTGCTTCTCAGCGGTCGGGGCTGCACCCCATGCAAGCCATGCTGGGAGGGGGCTGCACCCTGTGCTGTCTGCAGTGGTGCAATCTAAGGGCCTCTCCACTGTTGCATAGAATGCATGGGCAGTCCCCTTCCCTGCTTCATCCTACATGCAGGCAATCTGTCGTTCCCCTCCCCACCACCCCCTATCTCCCTGCTTGCTCCAGCAAGCAGTCATTATACTGTGTATACCTATGGATTCCCTACCCCCTGGAAAAAAAAAAACACAAAACCAAACCCCAACCCCCCCCCAAAAACAAAAAACTCAACAGCAGAGGTTCCTGCATGCTGTGCCACTCCCTGGGGCAGGAGCAGAAATCAGAAGCCATAAGGGAAGGCTAGATCCCCTGGCTCCACTGGAACTAGAATGATATGGAGCAGCAGCTGAGTGAGAGCCTGGGGGCCATAGATTAACTCCTTGCAGGCTGCATGCAGCCTGCAGGCCACCAGGTAGATAACTCTGAATGCTCTGAAGTACTTCCACCTCTTGAGAAATATTGTTACACATTAGTGTGTTTGTCTTTACAATGACAGTTTTGAGTTTGTTTCTACTTCTTCCTAAACAGGAGTAATTTTTGATCAGATTATGATGTTGCTTTTTATACTGTATTCTGTGGGTGCAGCTAGAAGTAACATCTGAAATATTTCCAAGTGAAATGCACTTAAAAATGCGTCAAAGAGGAAGCATTTTCAGCCGGGGGAACATACCTAAGCTCCTATGCCTCCCGTCTCATCCCAGCTGGAAAATTTCAAAATTGTCATGGCTGCGTACAGCAGTAGCTTTCCAGCCAAGGGGTGCAGGGTGGCAGCCCCAATCCTCTCTACTTCTCCTCTCTATCTCAGGAGTGGAGAGATAAAAAGGAACTAGGGATGAAGATCCCTGTATGTGGTGGCATCTCCTTGGGCATCTCCAGGTCCAGTCCATTCTGCTTCTCCACTCCACTCCCCTTCTTGCTGGAGGCAGTGGCAGGCCCTGACTGGGAGTGGGACTCATAGCTGTATAGTCTGCCAGCTATCACTCAGCCTGCTCTCTTTCTTTCCCTGTAGAGATGGAGGGGGTGAGGGGTGTACTGTGGAATTTTGGAGAATACATGGGTCGTCTTTTTCCATGCAGATGCAACAAAAAGTGAAATGCTTCAAAATATTACCATATTTGTATTGCTGGCTCTCTGAAATGTTTCAGAGACATCTGAAATATTTCAATTATTACTTCTGTCCACGCCCTGTGTGTCTAACATTCACCTTCTCAGCCTCTGATTTGGAGTCTTTGTATTATTTGTGCATGTCCCCGAAAGCTCTATTTTATTTTGGTAAGAAGCTTTATAACCGCGTGATTTATGCACTGATGGGAGATCAATGCAGTATGCTTTACTTAGACCTGGGATTTTTTTCCTAAAATATCCCATGGTCCCTACCATACCAGTTGGTTTGGTTCCCACAAACGTAGAAATGGTGAGAAGTGCATAGCCTAAGGACACTGTCTCCATTATCAATCTTGTAGCTTAGATGTAATAGTGACAAATTATGGGAAGTAAAATTTTCAATGGAGAGAAATAGTCTTGGGCCACATACAGATGTTAAGTTTCTTTAGGGAGAGTCACTGCTCTCTCAGGTCAAACCATGAGTGTACAGATGTTCAGGATTTTTCTTCCAGTGTAAAAATGGCTGCTACGCCAGCAAAATAACTCGGGTTAAATATATCCTAGGAGAGTTTCTCCTGGGAAAGCAAATATCTGTACAAGCTCTCTTTTCAGAGAAGCCACAGCACAGTCCAGCATCCCAAAGTGCTTTTTCCCCCCACCCCCAGGGAGATGCTGTATTCCTCACTGAACTCTACTGCTCCAGCCAAAAAAGGAATAGAATACACCTCCTTTGCAGTCCCCACATTGCCCTGCAGGAAGAGACAGACTGGCTCTGAGCAGTCTGGGTCAGCCAGCCAGGGTTTCTCTGTGCCCTGCTGCAATCTTTTTCCAGGGAGACCGAGAGAGCTTGCAGAGCCATCTGTGATGTATGCATAGGACACCCCTGGCTGTGCTGCATCAGTACTGCAGCTCTCTCCTCTTCTGTGGCTCAGCATTAAATGTCTGTCTCTCTGAGTAAGTTTTTTTCTACCAGGAAAGCAAACCTGGGAGAATTCTCCCACATCATCTGAATGCATGTACGCAGTCTAAGTGGACAAGAAGGAATAGTATCTCTCCTTGGCAGGCTTTTCACTAGTATACAAAATGATCCTTCTGAAAAAGTTTGTGGAATTTTTTTTGGTCTTTCTTATCTTATTTTGTTAACATTCTTCTGGAGAGATTTCTTTGCTTGATCTGTTTGTCTAGATTTCAGATTTTTGTGCTTTCACTTACAATTCCAGTGAGGAGGAAGAACATTTATACAGTATAAAAGTGACTTGGTTTTGGCTTTCACTGCTGAAAGGAAGGAGACAAAAAGGGCCAAAGCAGTGTGTGGTCTTTTCTGCTAGTTCAGCTACTCCCTACATTTTTCTCCCTTGCAGAATGATTAAGTTTCTATATTTATGATGATTGAAACTAAATACCACTAAATGGTCAATTTAAGACCTGAAAAGCCTGTTTGGCCTGAAAGGAATGTTTTTCTCACATCTTACTGCTATTATAAGCATGCATTAGCTTACATTTAGCCACAAAGAGTAGTAGGTGCAGAAATTTTAATGAAATGCCCTAAGGAGCTTTTCTTCATGGTTTGCTTTTTACATTCAATGGGGAGTGGGGGTGTTGGTTGTCTTTCAAGATGGTTGGAGATGAAATATGCATGCTCTGATAGAACCTGCATTTTAATTGATCTAAAGAGAAATATTTATGCCACGTGTTATTCTTTTCCATAATTATAATTGGCTCCCTTGAGTTCTGCATGGACTACTAAAGGGGAAGGCCACGGTTTTAAAATCTGAGGCCAAGGGCTTTCGCTTAAAGAACTTGGACTATGTGAAGCATTTTGCCTTAAGGGTAATCTGAAGGAATCATGTGTGAGGTGGGGAGGAAAGCAACTTAATACTTTCCTGTGTGCTGCTACACTGAAATTAAATTGGGCAGGAAAATAAATTTACGAGTCTGAAAAAAGTAGGTGAGGATGAAGCATAAATATTTCTAGTAGTACAAACATGAATGCAGCCCCCAGGCTATTTTGGGATAGAGGCTGGGGAGCAATTTAAACATTTTCTCTATGCTATTGCCTTATTAAAATGGCACTTTCTTTTCCATAAGACTAGTTCAGTAATTGGAAGGCAGAAATTAAGAGAATCAAGATGTATATATCATATATATAAATATTCAGTGGCAGACTGAGTATAATAATACCCTTTTTTAATTAGCAGGAAAGTAATTGGAGGGAGGTAGTTAGCCCTGTTAGTCTGAAGTCAGTCAGAAGGACAGGGTAAATATGCATCTTTCAGCTTCAGATTAAGTGAACTTGGGTTCATGAAAGCTTGTGCGTGCTCTCTCTCACTATATATAGATCTTATTTAGTTAGTCTATAAAGGTGCATCTACCCTGTTTTCTTAAGACAGTATTGCCAGCATCTCTGCTCTTGCTTCATTTCAGCTTTTAACTTCCCTTAAGTGTGTACACTGTGCTGAGCTTCATCATTATTGGCGTTGTTTTTGCCTACTCTTAAAAATAAAATAAAATAAAACAAAAATAGAGAGAGAGTAGATTTATGTTAATCTCTATATCCTACAAATGACATTTACTGTCCTTCACTTGTTAGGAAAGTTTTAGTAGATGGTTTCTTTTAATGAGGCGCTATGTTCAAAATGATTATTTTTTTGTAAAGAATATTGGAATATTTATAAGAATACTATGCTTATTTTCCTCACTATTTTAAAATTAAACTACACATTTCAAATAGACAAAGTAATTTTTAGATAAAATATTCCTCTTGCATGTGTTTGTTTTAAAATTCACAGAATTCAGTGATTCTAGTTAATGGAATTAACAAGTTTCTACTTTAAAGAAAGAAAGAAAGAGAGAAATATTTCATAGCTGATTTGTTGGTTTTGATGACAGTGATGTGTATGTGTGTGTATTCTTCATTGCTTATCCCTGAAATTTAAAAACATTTGCCCATCGTGTATATTAGGCAATGTTCAGTGACATACCAGTGCACACAGTGCACACTAATGGAAGTCATATGTATGTTATTTGCTTCGGTTGGTATTTTGTAGACCTGGTATTCCTGTGACCATGCAGGCCTTCTCTGAAGACGAACGGAAGCTGTGGGTGGAAGCCTTGGATAGTAAAGGAGGTGTATGTATATAATCTTTTTTCCAGCCCCTATTTTAGTTATTATGTAATGATGATTTTTTGCGTTTTAATACATTGTATTTGCATATTTCTGAAAATGATAGATTTACTGATGAAAGACTATCAATGGAATAGGACAGAGATCTGTAAAACCTGAAGTGAAGGTGTGGTGCTTCTCCATATAACAAGAAAGGAAACAGTGATTTTTATGTATAGGTTCCAGTACAATGATGGTGTCACTTTTCTAGCTAATCACTAATGTAACTTAATCACTTTTACTGGCAGACCTTACCACCTTACAGTGGCACAGACTTGAATAAGCCAGTTGTGTAGTGAATATAGTGAAAAATAGCTTTGAAAAATTAAACTACAAACTCAAGAATGTCACTTGTCAGTTTCCTAAAGCTGACTTGATTTTTTTTAATCAGTGAATGGGGGAGTTGTCCTTCTTTTTGATTTATCTCACTGTACTTTAGAGGTACAATTGAATTGAAGAATTAGAATGCACATTGATTCACTAATGTTATGCTTGAAGGATATTTGGTCTAGCATATTAGTTATGCAGCCCAAGAATAAAGGGAGTTGATAGTGCTGCTATTTCTGTGTCACAGCAGATGGTTGCTGCAAATTTTGGAATTTGATTCTTTTATTCTTGGTATTGCAGTGAAAAACTTTTAGAACTCTGGAGATGTAACTTACTGTAACTCATGAGGATGCAGTTTACATAACTAGACTGAGTTAGCTGAGGAGGTGGGGAGAATTCATAGAAGATCTGTACAAAAATCTAAACCTTATTGGAAATATTTTGCATTTGCTCATATTTCTATAAAATCAAATAAATATTTTATCTCAATTCAAGTTGAATTAATCTCTGTCTGCCTGAGTCACTATAGTGTATCTTGGGCTTTTGTCATTTAGATGCTTTGTCCCCATTCACACATTGATCTCGGCTTCCTAGCTAAATTACATCTTCCATGAATATATGGATTCCCACAATGCATTGGATCAGTTTGGATGGAGAAACTACAGTGCACTTATGAGAGATTCATCTGTCTGGGGAGTGTGTTCCATCGGAAAGCATGGGAATATGAAATACCTAAGCTAGAATTCCCTTATGCTGATAGGACAAAACAGATAGATATAGATCAGGGTTGGGCAATTATTTGGGCCTGAGGGCCACATAGGGAGTTCTGATGATCTGTTGCAGGCTGGGTCAGCACCCCCTGCCTCCCTCACACAGCACAACAACTCGGCAAAACTCCCTATGGGGTTTTGGGTGGGTGGGGAGCAGTGTTCGGGAGTATTCAGAGCCCATGATGACCAGCCACCTGCAGCCGGACATTGTGGGTGGAAGGCAGCCAGAAGCTGGAGCCGGAGCCCCGTGAATGGAGGCAGGATCCACCCGGCTGAAGCTTCTTCCCAGCCAAAGTGTGCAGCAGGAGCAGGAAGAGGAGCTGCAGGTGGATCAGATGTGAGGGGAGCAGAGTAGCCCCACCAGTCTGGGCCCCACCCAGCACACGCAGCTTCTGGTGGGGCTGTTCCCAGCGTGGCTGCAGCCAGCTGGATACAGCTCGGCTCTCCTTGCCTCCAGCAGTGGCTCCTCCTCTCACTACTGCCCCTGCTGCATCGCAGGGTGGGTGGGCAGGAAGGAAGCTTCAGCTGGGCGGTTCCTGCTGGAGGTAAGGGAAGGAGGGCAGCACTTAGGAACAGCCTCGCCAAAACTGCATGCGCTGGTTGGGGTCTGGGCCAGCAGGCATGGGTGGGACTGTGGTGTGGGCTTCCCCGACAGGAGTGAGTAGGGCTCAGCCCCATGCGGAGCACTGCAGGGGCAGCCATAGGCTGGATCCAGCCTGCAGGCTGTATTTAGCCCCACCCTTGGTGTAGATTGATATTGCCTGACCTCAGGTGGAACAGATCCAGAAATGTTTAAATTTTTTCTCCCATCTCAAGTAGTGTAACTATTTTGACCCTTCATTCTGATTCAGGATGGAAAGGTGTCATAATACTCACGATATCTTACAACCCAGCGCATTAGGTAAAGGCTTGTATTATCTAGCCAAGAGATTCTCAGATAGGTTGACATAGCACCCTTGGGTCCCATGAAAGCCTTTCAGGGGTGCTGCAGGGTGCCCCATAAAGTCTTTAATACTGGGTTCATATTTAATATTTCTGGGTTTATGTTGCGAATTGTATTTGCACACCTAACAATGCAATATTCTGACTTGTGGTGGTCTTTTGAGTTAATTGAAATAGCTTTTCTCTTTTCCAAAGTAAAAAAAAACAAGTGAAAACCAAGAGCTGACATTTTCAAAGAGGTGTCTGGAGTCTAAAAAGGTTGTGACCCATTGTTTTAGCCATTTAGTTGCTGTAGTTGTCCTTTTTTGCATTAAGCAGGGGACATCTTGAATCTCAGTTTATAAATGTTTTTTTGCACTGAACAGTATTTTTTTTGTGTTTTTTCTACTAGCTGTTCATCAATTTGAATAGACCTAACACCAGAAGGGAAGGGAGTAAGTATTTGAGCTATTTTTAAAATTAAAATTTTGGTAACTTTTAAAATTCTGAAATACATTGACTAGGTCTGTAAAGGACCTTACTTCTGGTCAACTAAGCCCTGGTCTTGCAAGCACTTATAAACATAGATTTTTTTATGAATAATTTGATAGAAGTTATCAGATTTTCTTGCAGTAGAAACCCCTTTGTAGGATTAGAGTTCAGGTTCATGCCTGTTCTGAGGAAAAATTGTTCCATCGTTTGTCTCATCTCACTTCATGCTCAAAGAACTTTAAAGACAAAGTTTATTTTTAAACATAACAAAAGTGCATTGTTTCAGAATATAAATGCACAGAATCCAGAAAATTCAATGTTTTGGGTCAAAGAATCCGTAACTCAGTGACTTGTTACATGTGTATTAAAACATAGCAAAGATTAAGGGCCAAATGCTGTTACACTCTATGTCCCCAAATGGCAGTTTTCCAGTGATGTAAGTGGCATTTTTGGTATTTATGTAGAGTTTGTAATTCTGTTACCTGTGCATTGTGAGTGTGTAAATGTCCACTGAGAATGCACAGTAGGCTACGCACTGGCTAGGTAGGTATGAGGCTATCTATGTTCGTTTATACCTGAATGAGAGTCTTAAA